TAAAATTGAAGCATTTGGACTTATAAAATGATTTGATGGCTCACAAAGAATTGCTGGAATTAAAAGTAATTGAAGCTTAGAAGATGTACAATACTTCATTTAAAAGAATGATCAATTCTACTTAGAGAATGTGCAAACGTTCATTTATAAGAACTACTAAAAGTGTGTGGAATGATTAAGAATTCAATAAACTCTAGATATCAAGAGTTTAACATTCTAATTTCGCCACCAAATTCATAATACACCTGCTAATGAATATAAGACAATTCATTCAAAGCCCAAAATATAACTTTGCCAATGATCAAATAATTCAATACAACAACAACAAACAACAACAACAACAACAACAAAGCCTTAATCCCACTACGTGGGGTCGGCTACATGAATCCTTTCCATTGCTTTGCTCCATTGCGTCCTATTTAGTGTTAAATTTTCATTTAGTTCTAATAAATTAAGATCAAATAATTCAATATCCAAGTAAAATTCTATTGTTTCAAATGGTTTCAAATTTCACAAAATTCAATGATAAGTTTCAATCCAAATCACATGTCTTAAGGATTTGTGCAAAGATATTTTTATTCAATGGTTCAAATAATTTTAAGTCATGCATATGCATCTAAACAACAATGTTTTGGTGTAATTGGCAAAATTTAAATGATTGTAAGCCTTGTAACTGTATTTCAAGATATTTCATAACTGCAATATATAATTTCAAAGTGCATGCTTGGTGCATTAAGATGCATGTGGATTAGCAAACTTGTGTGTACTCCATAAAATTAAATAAGTATTTAAATTTAAATGGTTTTAGATTATTGTGCAGGTTAATATTATATGTTCACTCGCTATGCTAAGTATGCAAGATTCTTTTGAAAAAAAAAATCTAAGATTATTTTAAAATTAAAGAACCCTCATATACTAAAGGTTTAATAAAAAAATAACTAAACTATGTATCATTTCGGATTTCTCTTCCAAGTGTGTTTGATTGTAACCGTCAATTTATTTTTTTGTAATAACATTTGTTTTTTCTAGTGTGATTTGAGTTGTCTCCGATATCACAAACATATGATATTTCTATTGTTGTCGTGAAGTTAGATGCATCAATCAACCAAGACAAGACCTACACTAATCTCTAAAGGTACATTTTAAGAGATAAGTCCCTATTTGGCAGGCTCAAATTCACCTAGCATGTTTTAGTGTAGTGGAATGCACATCTTCATAATGGGCAGCATAATATTTCCTATGAGTTTTCCAAGAGATGGAAGGATTCTACCCTTTAAGGCATGAAAAATACTAATGGAGAAAGTGGGATGGGCTCTCACAAAAACAAAAGCAAATTTCGCAATAATACACTATTGATTTTATAAGGCATGTCATTTTCCTTAGCATTTCTCTTGAAGAGATGTTTGTCATCATAATACGCATATAACATACATTCCTACATTTCAAATGAACTTCGACTCTTCCCTAATAAAGACATTAGCCACAAGTCACTTTACAATGAACATTGAAAGATAAAATAAAAGTCATAGAAAGAAATTTTCTAACCCTCAACAGAGAGGCTCCACAAAAAACAATGAGAAGAAGAAAAAAGACTTCAAAAAGTAATAGCAAGACAACCACTCCCCAGTCAAGATGCTCATGGCTTTTTGTCATCCTGAGACGTTGGTAACCATTTACTATGACTAGCCTCGTGACCAGAAATCCCCCTTAAATGTAGAAGCATGGATGATTCGTAGTTTCGAGGCTGTCTGAAATATCTTCATCAGTAAACATGGGTTACTTCATTCTAACCTAACACTAAAGCGGTGGGTTTGTTGTTTTGCATGTCCTAGTCCTTAACACTATGTATGTATCAAAACTAACTTAGGCTTCTATACTCAGATTAATCGAGGGTAAGTATATGACCCTCAGTTCAGTGTCTAAATTAGCTAACCAAAAATTCACGTCAGATCTTCTTAGGTTATGTTCTCGTTCTTTACCTTGGTGTGTTTTATATGTTTTTTTTAAGTTCAATATTTAAATTAATATCATGTTTGATTCCTAGACTTGACCGTTATGCTGAAAAGTCATGGTTTTCTATTATTAAAGTATTGTTTAAAGATTTGACTTTTAATGATTGTAAGGAAAAACCATCTTTGGAGAGGTATTTACCATCGTTTTTGTTTTATGCATTTTTTTATTATTTTTATTTTGAAGTATGAAATGGCATATGAAAGAAAACAAAGCATGAAACTACATATGAAACGACATGAAATAACACATGTAAAGTAGTAATTAACATTAGATTATACTTGGGCTAAATTTGAGTTGAGGTACGGTATGGGTCAGCTAGTTCAGGCCTGTGTTGATCTTGGGTTGGCTTGGGTTAACTAAGATTAAGTTTGGGTTGACCTGGGTTGAATTGGGTTTGTCCCAGGCTGAGCTAAGTTTGATTTAGGTCGGTCTCAGGCTAAGTTGGGTTAACCCTGGTTGGCTTAGGTTTGATTTGGGGTTGACACGGGTTAAGCTGGGTTACCCCTAGTTGGGTTAGGTTGACCCGAGTTAACTTGGTTTACCCGAGTTAAGTTTGGGTTGTTTGGATTGACCCGAGTTAGGTTGGGTTGACCTGGGATAAGTTTAAGTTGACCCGAGTTAAGTTTAGGTTAGACCTATTTTGAATTAGGTCTAAGGTTGGGTTTGGGTTAGACGTAGTTTGGGTTCGATCTAAGGTTGGGTTTGACATTTGGTTTGGGTTCAAGTTTGAGCAGGGTTTCAGTTTAGATTTAGGGTATGAATCTGGTTTGGGTTTGGGTCAGACATGGGTTAGGTTAGAATTGAGTCAGGTCTCGTCTGGGTCAGACCTGAGTTAGGTTAGGTTTGGGTCAAATTATGTTAAAGTTTAGGTGTCTCATTTGGGTTGGACCTGACTTAGGTTTTAGGGTTTAGGCTAGACCTGAGTCGGATCAGGTATAGGGTTTGGGTCAAATTTTTGGGTCAAGTCCAATTTGGGTCGGATCTGAGTTAGGTTGAAGAGTTTGGGCTCAACCCGAATCAGGCCAAATGTAGGGTTTGGGCAAGAGTTTGGGCTAGACCCGAGTTGGGTCAGGTCTAAGGTTTGGGTGAGGATTTGGGCTAAACTTGGGTTGGGTCAGACCTAGGGTTTGGGTTAGGGGGGCGAAACCTAGGTTGGGTCGGGTCTAGGGTTCGATTTAAGGTTTGGTTAGGGTTTGAGCTAGACTTGGGTTGGGTCAGGTCTAGGGTTAGGTTGGATTTGGGTCAAGTCTAATTTCGGTCAGAACTGGGTTAGGTTGGATTTGGGTCAGGTTTGATTTGGATCAGATCTGGGTTAGGTTAGGGTCTGACTAAATGAATTAGAGTTAAATTGGTTCGGGTTAGCCTAAGTCAAGCCAAAAGGCAAGCCTAATCCAAGGCTATTGAGTTAAATTAGCCTAACAAAACTTAAGAAAATAAATTCTTAGAATAGAAAAGAAAAGGGGAGTTTACTAGAGAGGATGAGGTCGACTGGAGAAGAGGAAGCTTGTCGGAGACTTTTTCTCATTTCTTCTTCGGAGCAGTGGAGTCTATCTTTGTCGTCTATGCACACCTTTTCCTGAGGAGTTACGGTCGCCATCATATTAGATGGTTGATATATCTTATAGCATACTCAATTTTCTTTACATTTAACATTTATTTTTGTGTTATGGTGGTGTTTTGGTGTTATTCTTGTGGTATTTTGACGCTATTCTTGTGATATTTTGTTGATATATCAAAATACCACTAGAATAACAAGAAAATATCATAATACAACCACAATACCACAAAAATATCACAAAAATATTACAAGAATACCACAAGAATAACACCAAAATATTTCAGAATACCACCAAAATATCACAATAATATCATCAAAATACAACAATAATACCACCAAAATATCATCATAATACCACCAAATTATCACAAGAATACAACTAGAATATCACAAAAATACAACCAAAATACCGAAATAATACCACCAAATTACCACCAGAATATCATCAAAATACCAGCAAAATACCACATGAATATCACCAAAATATGAACATAATACAATCAGGATATCACTATATTACCACCAAAATATCATCAGAATATCATCAAAATACCACGAGAATATCGACACAATACCACAATAATGCCACCAAAATACTACCATAATATCACCAAAATAACAATAAAATATCAATAGAATACAACTAGAATGCCACCAGAATACCACCAGCATAATATCACGAGAATACCACTGAACGGACTTCGAGCCGGGACACATGAAAAAATAGTTTTTTTTTTTCATATTCTTTTAATTCGCAAAAATCCGATCACAACACTTTACAAATTGCATTATATTAGAGTCCGCATAGTACGTACTCCGGACGCAATATTTTTTCCTCATTAGGATGATGATGATAATAAGATGAAGGGAAGAGGACTTGATGAAAAAATAAATTTGTGTTATATTATAGAATCCATAAAGGGTATACATATTAACTTTCAACGGAGAAACTATATGTCAATTCCTATGGCACAAATCTTAGATTAGGGCATCTCGAAGAATCATAATACATATAACTACAATTTTAATAGCCATTGTGTCCAAACCAAAATTAACCTTTTAATATAGTATCAAGAACCATTTATTGAACAATTAAAATAGAATGAGCCATAAGAGTCCCAATCATTTTGTATTTGTCAACCGCCAACAGTTAGTATCAGTCATAACCAAGATCCTTTCTATGTAATGTAATGAATCCATACAGATAAATGGCAAACTAAAGGACTGGGTTAAATGACAAAAAATTAGAATATGTCATTCAAAATTATGGTTAGCTCTTTGCTTCATACAAGCAAAAGCTTGAATTAAGATATGACAAATAAATTAGCTGGATGGTTACCTGTTTTCTAAAAGCACCATAATTCATAACATGCTAATTATAAGCATTATTTCATAGCTTTTCTCCTCAAGTAAAATAAAGGCACCCTACCTTGCAGAAGTCGAAGCAGCATCAACATACTGGCGTTGATACTTGGCGGGATAATTGGGCCCATTACAGTTCCTGGATTCAACACCACCAAATCTAACCCATTCTCCTTGGCAAAGTCCCAGGCTTGCTTCTCAGCCATAGTCTTTGAAACCGGATACCAGATCTGAAACCAATAATCCATTAGTCTTAAACCCATCCAAAACCCTAATTTTCCCCAGTATAAGCAATGAAAGAGCACTCGCCCCGTTCTGCCGGCAATAGTCAAGATCAGTCCAGCAACCCTCGTCCTTGACGACGTCCGCAGGCCATCCGGGGCTGGGCATTATAGCCGAGATAGACGAGGTGACCACCACGCGGCGTACTCCCTCATCGTGTGCCGCCCGAAGAACATTAAGCGTTCCTTTCACCGCGGGATCAAGAAGCTGGCCTTCGGGATCATGAACGCGATCAACGATGCAGGGAGAGGCGAGATGGAAGACACCAGTGGTGCCGCGGAGGGCGGCGACGATGGATTGAGGGTCGAGGAGGTTGAGCTGGAATAAGCGAAGACGCGCCGCAGCGCCTTCTAGAGCTTCGAGATGCTTTGTCTCGCCATCGTCCTCTGCATGGAGAATTTAACCGCTTAGTGAGACGCTATAAGGGGCATGTTGGATATGTGGGAAAAGAGACAGTACGGAGGTCCTTGACGGTGGCATGAACGGTATAGCCTCGGTCGAGGAGCAGACGGACAAGCCAGGATCCGATGAAGCCACTTCCGCCGGTGACGCAGACAGTTTCTTTGATAGCAGACATTGTGGAAGAACAGCGGCAGTGAGTGTGGTGTGGACTGCGGACTGATCTCTGACCTTTTCTGTCCATACGCTAGTATTTATTTTAGTTTTCTAAAATGTTAGCAAGAATATTCGCAAATACGCAGGCATATTAATGAGAATAAAATAAAGAGCCACATAGATTTACTCGGAAAAAGGCAAAGAAAAAGTTAATCATAAAAAAAAAAAAAAGATGATAATAATTTTAAATACATTAAATTGACTATCAACTTTTCTTTTTATAAAAAATCACTTTACATTTCCAATAATAGCAGAAATTATAAATAACTAACATTAATTATTTTTTTAAGAAAATATAACCCAAAGTAATTCCAATCGAAAAACTCTCATATTTTACCACAAAAAATTAAAATAATAGCTAAACAATTTCATAATTTATATATCACAAAAGCACCATAAACATTTCTCTTCACAACTTTTTGTTAAATTCTAGTGAATATCAAACATTTTCGACCAATGATAACCAAAGAGCTCTCTCTAGTCTTTATTTTCAAATGAAAGTGATATTTTTTACTTTATCATTTAGGATTTAGAATTTTAGACTAAACAAAATCACCCATTAAGAGCTTTTTATGTTGTATTCGACAACCTTCATCTTTGAAATAGAAAATATTATTTAAATTTTATTCTTTCAAATTTCAAAACTAATTGACTCGCCTGACATTAGTTTTTAAACTGATTTCCAATTTACCACTCCTCTAGCTTAACATTATGGGTGTTTTTTTGCTTGAAAGAGCTCATCATTTTTTCCCCCTAGCCATGGGATTGTTTTGTAAGTTCAATGTTATAATAAAACTAAACATCCAATTATAGTGTATCTGGTTGATGCATTTTTCTTCAAGACAGTGGACGTAGAAATGGACCATATCCTTTTTTTGGCCCTCTTAATACCTTCTCTTACGTTAAGCCTACCCCAATGTCTGAAAAAGATTTCTTCATATTAAACTAAGCAAGAAACTCAATAAAAAAATCCAATGTTTATCATGATTGAAATGACACCACCTATAATAAATTATAATTTAGCTTTGTCATAGCATTCCACTAAGTGCACTCGTGAATGCTTTCTGCAAGTCTGTGTCAACAGGTATACTTTATTTATGTCTTGGAAGTAATTTAAATTTAATTTAATATATATATAAATTTGGTTTTAAGAAAAATAGTGTTTTAATTTTGAAAAAATAATATTTTAACTTTGAAAATACGAGACTGAATTGATCTCATATAGACAATAGTTTAAATAAACAAGCACAACACTACATGTGACATACTGATCCCGAACGTTTAAATGCAACAATATAACAACGTCCTTGATTATATTTTTCACTTGTATTTCCTTACTCTACAACAGTACCAAAATTTTAATCTTGGAGAAAATAAGAATTTAATTTTTCAATTGATATATATTGGGATACTATGCAAGTATACATATCGTTATCAAGTAATATAAGACTTCTTGTTTAAAACCTGAATATCGAACCCATGAAAATTTCACAATATGCACTAAACAACAAACTTTCTTTTTTAAAAAGATAATAACTTAAACTATAGATATTTTTACAATATTTAAAATTCAAATTTTTTGGGTAATTTTGATATTTTGACAAAACAATAAAAACTTCTAAAGATAACTTGAGTTAATTTAAAAGAAAAGCACTTAATATGAAATGTCTTTCTCCTTATCATTAATCAGTAATAAGTATAGGAATTTTGTTGTGAAGGTATTCAAATTGTGTTGTGCCAAATAGGAGCAATATTACTCTTTACCCTTACTAGAGATGCTATAAAGCACATTGGCTAATTTAAAGTTTGAAGAGTTCTGAAGACCAGCTCAGCAGGGAAGATACCGGCTCTCACTTAAGAGTTTCCTCGATTCCCTCCACCTGGGAGCTAACATCTCGTATCAGAACCTAAAATAATAAACTAAGTTGGGGGCTTTAGTCTGTCACTCTAAAGTTCTCTAACTCTACACCCTTCAAAGATTATTTCCATATATTTGCACTCAATCATATGAACTACATTCTCATTCATACAACCTTCTTTCCAATTGTTGACTGAGACAATACTAGCCCGGTTCTTACATGTTCTCACAACAAATTTTAACATCTAGATAGGCTAGATCAAGAATTAAATGAAGTACATGGAATTAAATCATCATAACTTCTTCCAACATTAAAGATTAATACTCTCCACAACTTCTATCCAACACTTTAATTATCTATCATTTTAAGAAAAAAGATAAAGAAACTACTCAGAATCAATGGAGAAAATAAAATCACACTTTAGTTTAAAAGTAGAAATCATTGTCAAACCAACAAGAAGTTTC